TTTGCTAGTTTGGTCCTAGAAGTAGCACTTTACATAAATGATTGCTCCTGAGAGTCTTGCTGTATTAACTGGAAGTGGACTATATGAGCTAGTGTAAAGTGTCAAGAAGCATAACCAGTATTATGAGCAGTGGTTGCATAAGCCTCCCTCATGGGAGAATCTTCCCTGAAATCCTATTTGGCTCTGACACTGCCTGCATAAATCTTTCCAAAAGGAAATTTTCCAGCTTTGCCTCCAAAAACTTCTAGGCTTTAAAAAGATGAAACAAAATGCCAGTGCCTGGCCTTGGCTAAGACAAGAATGGCTGAGCTGACAGTACCATGCCTACAGAAATGTATCCTTATTTAAAATTATAAACCTGTCAAATAAAACCTATTCATGATACAATAAATCTTACAAGACTGAAACCACCTTAATAATTCAGCGTATGGAATAACATCACTGCACCCTGCTCTCCTGCACCAAGCAACACCTGAGTGCGGGATCACAATCTCCACCTTCTTTACCCTCATGCAGAATAAGGTACAGATATCGGCCAAGGTAACACTGCTCTTCAAAGCAACCTGTTTGTGTCCATCTATAACACATGCACACTGAAATGAAGTTGTATTGCACCATCTTTTGAGGGAGAATGCTAAAGTACTGTAATTTCTTTTCTTCTGTGAATCCAAAGCTTATGATCACTACCTGGAACAGGTACTATCTGACCTATAATGAAAACAAAGTAATTTTCATAGTCCCTGCTTTCCTCAATCTAATCTCCCATCTTAAAATATGATCTACATAGTCTGTTCATAAGTGCAAGACTTACTTGCCTTCACTAAAAAAAGCACTTTGAATAAGACCAACTAAATCAGTCCCAATCACTTTGTATAGTGATTTATACAAATTGACTGGGACTGCTTGAGTTGGTCTTATTCAAAGTAATTTTTTTCAGTGGAGACTAGTAACTCTTGTAGTGTCATATGTCCCACTCTTTGCGTCATATGCAGATAACGTTTTCTTCTACTAAGAGAAAGAATGGATTAGAAGCCCAAGATTACAAAAAAAAAATATTAAAAAAAAACAAAAATCCACAAACACTGCTAAGAACACCTTTTGATTTCTACTTTTTCTTCTCCCCCGCCCCCCCCCAAAAAAAAAAAAAAGTATTTTTCCTAATACTCTTAGGAATATCCTCTTTCTGGTTATACACAAACACAGAGAAAAAAGTCTCCTATGAAGAACAGACCTTCCTTTTTTATGTGCAACTCTATGGGCATGACCATTTATTTGGCTTGAGCTGTCAGAGAACATAATTACACTTGAAAATGCTCAAGATGAAATTCTTGACAAAGTTAAAATTATATATATGTAAATGTGTTTATGATGAAGAGAAATAACAGAAATCACCTGATGAGTAACAGGAGGTGCAGGGAAGAGAACGAAGAATTTAAAAACTAAAACTCAGTTTTGCAGTAGCTACAAAATGACCTATACATGTGTGCAGGCAAATACAATAGGTACCGTAACATGAGACTCCTGCCATGTCCTTGCATGCATAACTCAAGATCTATGTCTGGAAGAGAACATACAAATCGATTGGATAATTTCTACATTGAGTACTAGGGGAAAAAAAATCAACAAATCTTCAGCAGATGAGTTCTGATAGAACCTTTGGAAGTTGTTATTCCCATATGGAGCAGCATGTTCATCTGAGCCCATGCTGTATCATGCCTCAGATGCCACAGTGGACCAGTCTGTTGAGACCATTCACTTCAGAGCTGTGAGCAGGAGAAGGACAAAAGAAGCTTTCAGACTAATTCCCCCTCTCAGAAGTCATGCTGAGACCGTGGGATTTGATGCTGCTCCACTGCAGCAACCTAAGAAGCACATCTGTGGATGCACATGCCTGAGAAAAACACCATCACAGCTAAATCCGCTAGTTTTTGTCAGTTAGAACTCTAGATGTCATTCCGAGCAATATTCCTCTAAGTCTCCAAGCACTATTTCCCAAATCAAAATTAAATAAGAAGTTGGAACAAGTCTCTGCAGTCGATTCATATACATAGAAATTTCTGTTCTTCATTTAAACAAGACTGAACAATTGCAGTGAAGTTTCAGAAGAATATTAGAGACCACAGGCTGATGTGTGTTACCACTATGAAAAATGATTAGCTCATTAATTCCAGGCACTGTATTCATTTCAAACCCATCATACAGACTTAATTTTGCAAACAGATGCACTATTGCAGATCTGAACACCACAGAGATTAGCAATTCTCTTTACATGCAGAGAACAGAGGGAGAGCCCAGGAAAGAATTACAAAACATAGTGCTAAGGTCCACTCTGATGATGAAGGTAAGTGACAAAACAAACACACATACAGTTCAGCAAAACCAATTTTGCTAAGGACTGTAGTTAATTTGATTGTCCTTAACAAAAGGAAAATAAAATAAGATACCAATAACAGAGTGAAATAAAAGGCACAATCAATTACTACCACCAAGAATTTTAGGTCTTTTAGGTATCTGAAGTGTGAAAAGCCCTCTAAAATACAATAGTAAAACCCCCTCATTTGAATAAAATAGGAAGAAGGCAAAAAAACCCCACCAACCAACAAACCAAAAAACTATACATGCAAAATAAAACCAAACACAACAAAACCCAAAGTCTGAATTGCTTTTTGTTGTTTTTTTTCTTTTTTTTTTTTAATTTAATTTTCTAATCTAGAAAATATTTAATATATATAATAAGGAAAATAGGTGTAGCAGAAACTTTATCTGCAGAAAGGGCTAAACCTCACAACAGTTATCTTGTAAATCTAAAACTCAGTATCTATGAAGAATTTATCACATTGGTATGCACCCCTAAGAGCTATAATCAGATTTGTTATTTCCATATTCCTGATCTGGATGGTCAGAGTGCAGGATCTGTTCTTTGATGCTCATCTCTGCTTAAAAAGACTTTTTCAAAATCATAGGTCCAATCTCAGGTTCAAGTCTTTTAGAAGCCTGTTATTGACACCGCCGTTGTGTTCCTCAGTGCTGTGGTTTATAAGCCAATCTATGGACATCTCTTCTGTGGAAGATGAAGCAAATTGTAATTTTTTGAGTGCGTGCTTTTGTACAGTCTGTTCACATGCTTAAGTGGATGAACACCTCCTTTACAAGATAAGAACACTCCACAAATTGAAAAGCTGATTGAGAAATAATGCTGTAATGCCGAAGACTAATTTAGTATGATGAGTTTAGGTCTTTTTAATTTATTTTTCCGTAATTGCAAAAAAAGCCAGCAATTTATTTCCAGTAAGTCATGAAACATTTTGTTATTTTTCAAGAACTAACATACCTACGATATTGACAGCAAATGTAATAAGCATGTGTCTCTTTAACACATTGTTAATATTGTCCCAGTAGAAAAGAATCATTTTAAAGCTTCATGTAGCACTACTTTGCCAGAGGAAAGGAAGCATTTTTCATTACTTTTTTTGTTTCACTGCTGGTTTTGTAACTGTTCTGGGTTCAGCAGTAGCAGTCATTTTTTTCTCCTTCTTAGTAGCTGGTGCAGTGCTGTGGTTTTGACTTTCAGCCTGGGAACAGCGCTGATAACACCGATGTGTTTAGTTGCTGCTCAGTAATGTTTAATCTGACCAAAGACTTTCTGAGTCTCATGCTCTGCCAGGGAGGAGGGGAAGCCGGTAGAAAGCAGAGACAGGACACCTGACCCAAACTAACCAAAGAGGCATTCCATACCACAGCATTTCATGCCCACTATATAAATTGGATGCAGTTACCCAGAGGTGTTAGATCACTGCTCGGTCGGGCTGGGTATCAGTCAGAGGGTGGTGAGCGGTTGTATTCTCTTCTCTTATCATTATTATTATTGGTGGCAGCAGTAGTGATTTGTGTTATACCTTAGTTACTGGACTGTTCTTATCTCAACCCGTGGAAGTTACATTCTTTCAGTTCTCCTCCTTGTCCCTCTGGGAGCAGGGGGAGGAAGAAGGAGGAGTGAGCGAGCAGCTGCATGGTTTCTGAGTTACTGACTGGGCTTAAACCATGACAGTAACTTCCACACATTATATTTAGTCTATAAAGCTGTACATCATTAAAAACTTTGCATAGATATAAATATTGATCATAGAATCACAGAATAGTTCAGGTTGGAAAGGACCCTAAGATCAGCTAGTTCCAACCCCCTGCCATGGGCAGGGACATCTCACCCTAGACCATGTCACCCAAGGCTCTGTCCAACCTGGCCTTGAACACTGCCAGGGATTGGAGCATTTACCACCACGTTTCCCCCTTTGGCCATAACCCACAGTTAGGGGCCCATCACCGATTCCCAGGGAGACTTCCAGACTCCCCAGACTATCATTGACATAGTTACACCCCCTCCCTGTCTGCCTGGCCTGTCTTTCCTGAAGATTCTATAAGTTTCCATTCCAACACTCCAGTCATAGAAGCCACCCTGCCACGTTTCCATGATGCCAGGGATATTATATCCCTCTAGATGTGTGCACATCTATGGGCATTTGTATAGAGACATCTGAGCCGAGCTCCGAAGAAAGCCAACTCATTGGCTGGAGCGTCTGGAGAAGCTCTGCATCGCTCTGAGCATTCGTTATAGGTGCTGGCAACTGACTGGTAGTTTTGGGATGGATTGGTGTTCCCCTCCCCCAACACATCTAGTTTAAAGCTACCTTGACCAGCTTGGCAAGTCTCCTACCAAAGCAGTTCTTCTCCTTTGTCAGTCTGGCCTCATCAGCCTGCAGTAGATCTAGCTTTCCAAAGCAAATTCCATGGTCTAAGTAACCAAACCCCTGACTATGGCACCACCCCTCTAAGCATCTGTTAACCTGCCAGATTTCTCTAGTCTAGTTGATATATACTGGATGATGTATATATGTACACATATATAGGAGTGAAAACATAAAAGTACTTCGGAATATTTCTGAAGGCTCCTGCGACAGTTCACCAAGACAGACACTATTTTACTAAAACTGTCAAATACTTACTGTGAAGATACTGAGCAATGTTTATTATCCATTCATCTGTTAACTTCCCAGCTTTTGCTATCTTTGTACACTTCAGCTGACTTGAAAGATCTCTTGATTCAATCCAACAAATGGTGTCCTCTTTGTAGCTATAGTCTAGTGTCAAAATTGCAGACCCTTTTACAGGCGTTCTGGCAGACATTTTGCTTCCATTAAGGTGTAATACCTCAATTGTTTCTGAGCTTGCAATCAGAAGAAGAGATGGTCTATCAGCAGGCTCTAAAAACAAAGTAAAGAGAATTTAAAGGGTTAATGGACTGTGTTTACTATACTTTTTCAATGTAATTTTTAATGTTCTTACCTGCATGTTTTAAGAGATATAATAAATTGGTTTTGTTTTTATTTTCATAACTATCATATATTCCAAATTACTAGTGTATTTTATCCTGTTGTTCTAATGGCTCACATCATTAAAGAAAATTAATTACCCTAGCCCCACAGCTTCTGTTTAATTCCAAGTACCATCATTGCAACATTTTTCATGCCTATGTCATAAAATGAAATACAACTCATGCAAATTACTTCTATCCAGACTGCTAGCATTTTTAAAGAATGAAGAACAGGAAAAGCTGCAGAACATATCAGGACACATGAAATGGCAATGTACTTTCCATATTAGAATCTATATAAGACAAAAACTGAGGACTGTATGCTGCTGAAAAAATCAAACCCAGTCTTACAAAATCCCAATGCAATGAAACCTGACTACATCATAGAGATGATGGGCCTGCTACCATGCATTATCAAGGAGAAAGCACCATGCAGTGGAGTTTCCCAAGAGCAGAAAGGGAACAGAGAATGTGTCTTTCCACTAGGTTACTATTAATGTTACAATAAACAAACAAACAAAAATATGAGGAAGCAACTCATATTAAGAGATTACATACAATATAAGTGTCACATTCACCTGAATCACTTTGCCTAGAAATCCTGCTAGTAATTTATAAAAATATTTGAGCAATGTGTGAATAATGAAACAAACAATAATACCCCTATAGTGAGGAATATGCATCCTAAAATACAGAATGTTCCAGTTTAAGTTAAAACTTGAAAGAGTTACATTATCCACACACAGGAACAAACAATTCTCATTGCTACAAAATATTTTTAGCACTATGACAAGTGCTATTTGGCACAAAAGCTGCTGTTCTTGTTTTAGGTGTATCTTTAATTGTGTTTAAGACACAGGATAGAGAAACTGCTTTTTGAAAAATCTCCTTCACATTAGATGCCATTCAGCATTCAGAGTTCTGCTCCAACCAAGACTGAGCTGATGCAGAAACTTATGAAAAGATTCCCTGTGAGAGAAAGATATTGTGACCCTAAAAACCGTTTCAGGTTTAACTGGAAGAACAGGCTGTCTAATATTGCAATGAGGTATGTTCATGTGAATCACTTAATGGAAAGCTGGCCTTTGCAACAGGGTCAACATCACTACAACATGTCTATTTGTCCCATTCAATTGTTAAATGAAATAAAGTTGTCAAGTGGGCAAACTTTTGGATGTTGTATTGTAGAAAATTACCCTAAACCATAGAAACTCACACTGCCATTGCAAGCATATGTGAAAAATATTTCTGTTGCCAAGTCAAGAGTTCTCACCTCAGTGGAATCTGCTTGTATTCAAAGGAATAAATCAGTGTTTAAATGCTGCATTGACATGTGGTACTTTCAATGAACATTCTACCTAATGAAGTTTTCAGAATTTTACTAAGCAATTACAGCTGTCTAAATGGAGAAAAAAAATGCATAAATACAAGGATTTGACAAATAATGCTTCATCAGCAAGTCTGATTAAAAAGAAGAAAATGCTTCAGTGAATAAAGTGCTCAGTGGTCTCAAATCCATAGAAGCAGGCGTTAAACTCTGTTCTTTGGTGCTCTCTGCTTTTATTGAAACAGCCCGTTTGCTGATTTTTTTAATTTTGTCATGTAAATAACTTCTTTTCTTTTTTTTTTTTTTTTTTTCTATAAGGGATCAGCATGTATTCCTTCTAAAGGGAATTTCATTTAATCTTTTCCTATTGTTCCTCATTCCACATGCATATTCTACCTTGGAACCCTCTACCTTTCTCCCTCCCTGGTAGATCTCACACTGACATCTGAAAACCTACACTTCCGTAGCACTGCTTTTTGAACTCACTGACTGTCCCCATCAGCCTCACATTCACTTCCCCCAATTCATGGACAGGACAGGTGTCCTGGGTTCATCAGTAGCAGACATTTTTCCCCTTCTTGGTAGCTGGTGCAGTGCAATGTTTTGACTTTCAGCTCGGGAACAGAGCTGATAACAAGCGATGTTTTGGTTTGGCCAAGGACTTTGTGAGCCTCATGCTCTGCCAGGGAGGAAGGGAAGCCAGGAGGAAGCAGAGACAGGACACCTGACCCAAACTGACCAAAGAGGTATTCCATACCACAGCACGTCATGCCCAGGAGGTAACTGGGAGTTAGCCGGAAGGGCTGGGAGACTGCAGGGTTGGAGGAGGTATCGGTCAGAGCTTGGTCGGGCTGGGGGGGGCGAGTTATCGGTCGGCTGGTGGTGAGATGATGTATTCTCTTCCCTTGTTATTTCCTTTATCATTATTATCGTTGGTGGTAGCAGCAGTGATTTGTGTTATACCTTAGTTACTAAACTGTTCTTATCTCAACCCGTGGGAGTTGCATTCTTTTCGATTCTCCTCTCCGTCCCTCCGGGAGCAGGGGGAGGGCAAGAAAGGGGGGGAAGTGAGCGAACGAATTACCTGACTGGGTTTAAACCACGAGAACAGGACAGGATAGGATATGGATAAGATGGACAGGATAGGATAGGATAGGATAGGATAGGACGGGACGGGACGGGACGGGACGGGATGGGATGGGATGGGATAAGATGGGATAGGATGGGATGGGATAGGATGGGATGGGGTGGGATGGGATAAGATGGATAGGATAGGATAGGATAGGATAGGATAGGATAGGATAGGATAGGATAGGATAGGATAGGATAGGATAGTTAGGGATGGAAAGGACCTTAAGATCATCCAGTTGCAACCTCCCTGTCATGGGCAGGGAAGCCTCACACTAGACCATGTCACCCAAGGCCATGTTCAACCTGGCCTTGAACACTGCCATGTTCAACCTGGCCTTGAACACTGCCAGGGATGGAGCATTTACCACCTGCTTGGGCAGCCTGTTCCAGTGCCTCAGCGCCCTCACTGTAAAGAACTTCTTCCTTATATCTAACCTTAACATCCCCTGTTTTAGTTTACACCCATCACCCCTTATCCTATCATTACAGTCCCTGATGAAGAGTCCTTTTCCAGCATCCTTGTAGGCCTCCTTCAGATATTGGAAGGCTGCTGTGAGGTCTCCACTACCAGCCTTCTCTTCTCATACGCATCTTTTTTGGTTTTCTTCTTTTATTATCATTATTTTTTTTTTTTTTACTCATGGAAGGTACCTAACAACTGAAAAGAATGAACTGATTTCTAAAACAACTCCTTGTGTTGTAAGCCATGAACAAAGCTCCTCAGTCTTGCCTTCTCCAAAAGAGAAAGCAGTGGAGGTTCTTATTAAGCCATTTTATTTGAAATTGGCCAGGTAAGTCCATTTGCAGTCAACAAGTGGCTGGGATATGTAAATCTCTTTTCCTTCCTTTCCTATCAACTTCTGCTACCCAGCAGAAGAAGAAAGCCAGACTTAAGAGCTTCTGTCTGTCACCAACTCCCTCCAGAGACTTTCCACACTGAGGGGTACAAAGGGGTGTTGCCATCTGCATTCTGCTATGTTTGGGGATTTTTTCTTACATCTAACAGCTCTGTGCTCATCTTCTCCCTTCCCACTGCCTAATTCTGGGTTCAAACACTCCTTTCCCAACCAGCAGCTTTGTGAAAAATCCTTTATTATTATTCTTTTATACTTTATGTCAGGTAAGATAGTTCCACCCTTTGCAATCTATAAAAACTGCAAGAGAAGGTAGCTATATGGGAGCTGTTTGCAGTTACCAAGCCAGCATGGTTGTTCAGTTGTTTGAGGTTGCAATAGAGGAACATATCCCTTCCTGCACTGTTTTAAACTGATGCATTGAAAACTGTAACAAGGATTTAATACCTCATTAAACTCCAGAGAAAGGATGCATTTTAGTATTAATGTCTAAGACATACGGGAATTTTGAAAAAGAATTACTGACAAGCTTCCTGAGCAACAGTTGTAATCAAAACTGGCTGCAGACAAAGGAATTGTGAGGACTCGTGGCACTGCTAAGAGGTTCTGCTCAGCAGGCAATATGACATGTTAAAAATACTTCTGCATTCTGGCAGAATTTATCCAGACACTAGATTACTGAGCTTGAAACTATACTTTTCAAGCAGACTGTACATTGGATTGAATCAGTTATTGTATTTTCACAGTAGGGTAGGTAACCTGCTTATTTCAGTGTTGCTCAGATAAAAACTGATTTCATAATTATTTTTTAAAAAAGAGTAAAATTATTTCAAAGACAAAAATATACAAAAAAGTATTAAAGGTTCCTACGAAAAAGAAAATAAATATTAAAAGCATCTTACTGTATTGGAAAATGCATATGAAAAACAAAAAAGAAGATGAATAACAAAATCAAAATCATGTCTTCTCCCTCACAAAACCTGCTTGTCTATTTCTCAAGAACAGAATCTGCAAAGCTTAAAGTTTAGTGGGCAGATCTAGGATGAGTTACCGTTAGCTGACAACAGCTTTTCAAATAACTGGACTTCATAGGTTATTTTTTCAGAAGGTTTTTTTTTTTTTTTGTGGTGGTTTTCTTGTGGGGTTTTTTTGGAGGTGGGTTGTTTTTTGTTTGTTTGCTTTTTTTTTTTTTCCATAGGAAAGATAAGCATTGAATAGCTCTGTAATCCAGGGAAGTTTTATGATTCATCCCTCTTGACTAAAATGAAAACATCTTCCTTTGAATTATGTCTAAGATAGAGTAGTGGAAAGGATGAATGACTCACATTTCCCTCCTACCTGATCTTGTCTAAAATACAGATCAATAAGTGATGTCACAATAAATCAGAAAATAAGGTGTTTTCCTCTGCCAGCAGCCCTACTTCTGTTCAGGAAGAAAAGATTCAGAAATACCTCCTTTTTTTTTTTCTTCTTTTTTCTTTTTTTTTTTCCAGTGTAATGATATGAAATAGATAAAACTCAGAATTCAGTGCTTACAAGCAGCTTAAAACCCCTTCATCCTGAGGTATGCACTGTAAATGATAAGTACTTTGCTCTTACCAATGCAAGCATTGTATAAAAATATGAAAAATGTTTTTATAGTGTTAAATAAAATGATGTGGACCTGTTGGAGTGAATCCAGAGGAGGGTACAAAGATGGGCAGAGTACTGGAGCACCTCTCCTATGAAGACAGGCTGAGAGCTGGGCTCGTTCAGCCTGGAGAAGGCTCCAGGAAGACCGCAGAGCAGCTTCCAGTACCTAAACAAGCCTATGAGAAAGCTGGAGAGGGAATTTTTACAAGGGCAGGTAGGGATAGAAAAGGGGGAATGGCTTTAAAGTGGAAGAAGGCAGATTTAGATTAGATATTAAAACTCTTCACTATGAGGGTGGTGAGGCACTGGCACGGGCTGCCCAGAGAAGCTGTGGAAATATTCATGGCCCAGTTGGATGGGGTTTTCAGCAGCCTGGTCTAGTGGAAGGTGTCCCTGCCCATTGCAGGGGGATTGGAAATGGATGATCTTTAAGGTCCCTTCCAACTAAAACCATTCTGTGATTCTATAAAAATGCAGTCCAGTTTAATTTTGAAATTAGTATTTGATGTTTATCCACAGTGTACCAAACATTTGGGCTGATTTATCTTTAAAGAATCAAAACTTAGTTCCATGAGATTTTAGAAAACTCTGTTGTAAAATAAGTTTCAAAGTGATGGAATATTTTCTAAATATCAGAAAGAGCCTTTTGCTTAAGCCATTATCAGTTTATCCAGCTTTATCTACATGACAAATGTTTCTTACCACATGGAATTTCTCTCTAAATAGGCTATACAGATATAAAACATACCAGGAACTTCTGGAAGAAAGAAGATTTCTCAGTGAAATTTTTCTCAGCAAAAAATTTCTAGTTGTGTCTTTTTGCTTCCTTAAACATTGTTTTCATCAAATGCAGGCCTTGCAAACTAGGCATACAAACTTGGTAAACAAAGAGGTTCTAAAACTCTGTTCAGCAGAGCTTTATTTTGTTCAGTTTTCACCCCAGAAGAAGTAATTAACTGTTTCTTTATTCATAAAAGAATGTGTGGTTAAAAAGTCTGGGAAAAAAACATAGTGTGCCCCCAGCTGTTTTGACAATTGTTTTAGCATGCTTCGCAAAGGTACCGTGCAGCTAAAGTTTTCAGCTCCAAAGTTATTTAAATGTGCTGAGGAAGAAAATGCAAAATTTAATGAGGGAAAGACCTTACCACCTTCCCAGCCAAGCATTTGCCTGCCTGAAGGGTATGAAAAAAGTAGCTTCTCTGAAGTTCTTTGCTAATTGTTCCATACCACGTGCAGAAAGAAGGTTATGCGGGCATGGGCTCTGAGGCTGTGCTAAAGCTGCTGAAGGGCGTTGGAAGTAGATGATCTTAAGGTGCCTTCTAACCCAAACTATTCAACAATTCTGTAAGTCAGGACCAGCAAAGCAACACAAGCTGCTCACTGCAGCTCTTTCAGAGCGCTGTGATAGAAGTACCTGAATTACTGTACCAGGAGTCTTTTTGATCTCTGTGCTCTAGGAAGTATTGGATCCAAATATTCATCATATTGATAATTTAATCCAGCAGTAATTCAAGGAAAAGTTATGTTTACACACACACACACACACACAAAAAAGCAATGATCAACATTCATTTCTTTGCAGCACCATCATCTTGATTTGTACTGTCCTGCAGTGATTTCTCTGATTAACGAGGAGTGACTCTTACCTGAAATTGCAAGAAAAGGTGAAAACTACTGTAAAATAAACATGATGAAGTATTAAGAAATACATGATGAAGTATTAGGAAATACAGAAGAGGCATTCTTCTTTGTTAATCTGATTCATTTCATGAAGACCACCCAGCCACTGACGGCTCACTGCAACACTTAGTTGTCACATATACTGCTGGATCTAAGAAGGGAAACTCAAAGGCTCATCTCAAGCCCAGTACTGGTACCATGAGGATTTCCTGATCTAGAATTGCATTACTGATTTTCATGTAGTGGAGGAGGAAGAATATTAAAATATTTTTACTTTGTGTGGACTTTCTTATCTCACAATGCTTCTCTGTGGATTTAAAGAAAAAAAAAATCTCAGCTATTGTGTGGATCAATATAAAAACTGGTACAAGAAGTAAAAAATCTGTATCTTATACTGTTGCTCAAGTCAGAACAATTTATTTAGCAATGCTCTTTATGTGAGGAAGCCTCAAAAAAACCCAGGAGACCTTCCTATTTTCTGATGGCAAAATATCTACAAAAAGGAAAACTTTAAAAATATATAGCAAACACAGGTTTACACTTGGGTGTTGAATCGTTGTGAATGTTGACTAATTTTTAAGGATTTTGGGGGCTTTTTAATATAAAAGTATTGTAAATTTAGTATGCTGAATAACAAGATATTGTGTACAATATCACTTCCTTAAACATAATTCACTGATTTCCTCAAATACCTAATTCACTATTACTAATGAAAATATGCAGTAAGCAATAAAAAGCCTAGTATGAATATGTATATCATGAAATTCACCTCTTGGGATATCGAAGGACAAAGCAATCTCCTGTCTTTTTTATCCTAAGAGTACAATTACCTCCCAATCATTTCCTCTGTCTTCTCACTATCTCTGTTGTCTTCCCAGCATAAACAGCCTATTTTGTTTGTGTGAGGAAAAAAAGCTTTCATTTATTTATGAACAGGGAAACTGGGAACTCTTCTAATCTTGGCTGAATTGAGTCTTTCACTTTAATTAATAATAATCATATAATAACTTCTAACATTTCCCTTGGAGTACTGTTGTAATATATGAAAAGTTTTCCAAAGGTTGTTGTGTGGCTCTTTGTAGTAGAGTGAAGGAAAGCCCACCTCTCACATGTTTGTTTATCTTTCCATATGTATCCTCTAGACAGGACAAAACCACAAAATATTTTAATTAATGTAAAAAGGTGTTAAAACTTACTATTTTTGGCCTTGCAGGATTTGTTATCAGGCTGAAGCACATAACCCTCCACACAGCTGCAAGAGTATGATCCTTCTGTGTTTGCACACATCTGGCTACAGCTTCCATATGTGTTACATTCATTCACATCTGAAGGGACATTAATGAGATGTCATTTATGATTGAAAAAAAAAATAATTCAACAATATATCAGAATCCTAAGATAAAAGTTTAAGTCATTAAGTCACTACGGTATGACGCTCTATGTTTTCCCCTTCTCAGACCGTGACTTTATCACAGATGTTGGCTGTTGAAATCACTCCAGTAACCAAACAGAAGGCTAAGAGTTTTCCAGTTTAATAGGCATTAATTTTCAAAGATAAAACCTTCATTTTTTTCAATTAGTATCCAGTATCTACATCATGTTAGGGTTCTTGTTAGTATTAGAGACCACTGGTTATCAGGACTGATGAATGAAGCAACATTTCAAGAATGGGAATTTTATCTTTCTCAACCTATTAATGCTGGCAATGTCTTATATTTCCTTAAATGAACTGTCACAGCTTCTACATTAAACCATCATCCACTACATCAAAACCTATATATTTCTCTAATAAATATAAAGAACAATTTTCTCAACTAGGGTACATGGGCATACCATAAAATCAAGATATGCTATTTAACAGTGGTTGAGGGCTTAAACTGACATTTAAAAAAACTGCTGTTGAAATTATTTCCTCAGATATATTTTTAATCACAAAACATGACACCCATGGTCAAAAGAACTTATAATAAATTACATTTATGAAGAATCTGGCTTAGCACCATTACTTAGAGAAAGGAGTGATTGGTAGTGAGCACATACATAAGGCAACAGAACTCTAACATGATTATAAAAAGAGAAAAAATAAAACAAGAAACAAATACCTGGATACAGAATTAAGAAGTCATATATTTAAAAAATGGAAAAGAACACCAATTTCAGTTTGCAATTAATTATACAAAGTAACATTCCCAGATAAATTGTATGATCTCAGAGTGTTCATTTATCAGATTCTAATCTAGGTGTGACTTTATGGGCATGAGGTGAAACACTACAAGTTTTACAGCATCTCCTGGTAGCCTGGTCTGGAAAGCAGCTCATGTGAATGAGCTGTAAGCTTGTCTGAGCAGGGGGAAATGCTCCCCACCTCCTCCAGCCTGGCTGAGGATGCTTTCCTTCCAGTAACTTAAGAATACCTGCTGCTGGGGCACAGGAGCACCAAAGAGTCAGGAGTGGGGCTGACTCTCATTCTGGAGAGGCACCCCTGGTCATTCCTGACAAACACCTTTGAAGACAGGTGTGCTGTGCTGTACAGCCTGCCCTTTGGCAGAGCCCAGAGCCAGCTCACTGTGCTTGACAGGATACCTGGCTGTTAATGTCACAGTGCATTTCTTGTTTACCTGTGCAGCTTCTTCCATCACTGCTTGTTTCATATCCATCGGCACAGTAACACCTGGTGCCACTCCTGGTGATGGCACATTTGTATTGGCAATTCATCTGTTGGCATTTGGGTAGCAATTCTGTAAATAATATCAGTTACAGCAAAAGGTTACTAAACATTTTTATTAATGCTAAATTGTAAATTTTACAAAATTTGTGTTATATGTAAGTGCATGCCTTGGGAAGGAAGCACCACCACCATTTGTATTAGCTGTCTTTGGAAAAATGACACATACATTACAAAAAGCTTGCTTTGAAAATTGCATTTCAGCAAGTTAATAAATAGAAATCAGTATTTTATTGCTATCAAAAGTTGCTCAGAGGTTTATTATTGAGGTCTACTGTTACTCTGCTTAGACATCCATTTTTTGCCAATCAGTCATTTTCAGTTAAAGCAATGATTTTGAAAAAAAAAACAATAAAGCAACCAAGCAAAAACCCCAGCAAAGATAAAACAGTGTGATTATACCTATAAAAACCAGCCAAGGTTATGAGAAAGGTTTCAACATCTATGTTTTTCCTATTCCTCATATCAATTGATTTTCTATCTTTTTAAAGCTTGTTTTGATTTACTGATACACATATAACCTTCACAGCAATCAATGGGAATACATTCTGTCTTAATATTTTAATACCAGACACGTAAAGCTGGATAAACAGTGGCCATTATATATGTCATTGCTACTGAAGTCCCTCCTAGAACCTATTGCTTAAATATGTACCATCAGCATGACACTAAAAAGCAGACGAAATATTGTAGAAATATACAGTCATGTTTTCAGTCATGAAACCCACCAAGCATAAACACACTACCCCCCCAAATCTCAAACTCTTCTCAGGGCCAAGCTGTATGACGTGTATCAATAATTTTACAGATACATTAAAAAAAAAAAAAAATTTTTTTACTCAAGGAAAACAATAAAAGGATTGAGGAATATAGCATAAGGAGTTCATCTCAAGATATTTTTCAATCCTTCATGCAGAAAATAACCTGTGAATGTACAAGAAAGTTTCTGTTACAGGAGTATAACTGGGTATGTCATAATGAAAAAGACAAATCTGTGTTTTAATATGTGGGCAGTTTCAATTCACCTGATAATTATTCATTGAGTTCTACTTAGGAGTAGAATGCAAATGAATATGAAGAAGAGTCAACATCAACATTTAAGCTGTGGGGCTTCAATTCTGGAAGCCTGCCGGTGTCAAAATAAAGCTGAAATTCTGGGAGAAAGAGGGCCTGGATGTGGCTGGCACCCAAAGCTATTAATTACTATAATGCAACTATTCTAAAAAAGAGAGGTTTCATGCTATTTTTTCAGGGCATTCCCTGGAATTCTGTAACCTACAGACTGACTAGAGGCTGAAACGCCATCCACTGTCTAAATCTGCCCAATTCCAAGTGTTTTCTGAGTTATTTCTCTGCCTTTTGTGCCATGGTGAATAGGAAGATATGTTTTTTGGCCATATCTAGCTTTATTTGTTTCTTGTCCCTAGTCCGGTCCTCCGGTTTTACCTTTCCAAGAACAAGTCCCAAGCAGAATGCACACCAGGTTACCTAAAGGTAACCTCACGTGGGACTGCATGCTGAGGTGGGGAGCCGTAACCAAAGCTGATAAGGTGATATCTGTTTATTTAATATTTCTATCTGTATAAAATCAACATCTACATTTAATTTTCTAAGCAAACATGGATCAGTCACCCTTCACAACCTATAATTGTCTTTCTTAAATATTTGTCTGATGCTATACGGACAGGAGCTTTTACTGGATGATAACTATCTGACTCACAAACAGACTTGGCTTCTTTGCGCTCTTTCCATAATGGATGCAGACAGCCAGCAGCCTAAAGCAGAATAGCGGGACCTGTACACAGCCCGTGAAGGCTGCTGGAGAACAGCAACAACAAATTAGCAAGTGATAGCCATTATAGGAAAATTAGAGGATATAGGAATATAGGAAAACCAGTCAATCTGCTCATATTTTTTCACAAAAACTGATGCATTACATTGATTTTAAATCTTTGCAGGATGGTTTTTAACAACAAAACAGTTGCATTTTCCTTACAGTAAATATAACTGAAGTGCTGTGAATACACCAGTTCTGCCAAAAAACATTTCTTGTCACACATCTAAACCTTCATTCTTTCTGAAATTTTTTATTCTTCACACTGTCTCTCACAACTTCATTGATGCCCTCATCCATTCTCCTATATTTTTAGAAAGGGCTTCATTTGAAGAGGTATTCTACTTACATTTCTTTCCCTTATATATGTCTGTCCATTCACTTTACTGTGAATACTGTCTGATCCTACTGATCAATTAATGAATTAATTTAAAATTTGTTTCTCGAAATACATGCTTCAAGATCCATTGTCAATAATGGTTTCAGACCATTAAAACTGGCCCAGTGAGAAAACTAAAATATTTTCTCTCCTTTTAACCAGCTAGGAAAAGAAGCAAACTCTCACTTACCTCAAGTTTCACACTACAACTACATTTACCTGGAGGATAAGAGCAGCCAAGGGAAGTTTTCAAAGAAACCAGACTTCCCCACAAATCCACTTACGAAGCATTGTGGACCACTATGCTTCTGACTTCAAACTAACATTCCCACCTTCCCCCCTAAATTATCCATGAGATTATTAAAACCGTAATTTGCCACTATTCACAGCTCCAGTGAAGAGCTTTCTTATTGCCTGTGTGAGAGACACCTTTGTGCTCCAGATTTTGGCTCTTTTACTGATCTGCTAAACCTGCTAGGTGATTCCACAAGGTGAAAAGCACAAAATACAATGACATCAAGGGTAAGCAAATGGAATGTCATTGAATGGAATGGAATGGAATCTGGACCTATAGTGATCATTTAGTACAACTTCCTGATCACTTCAGGACTGACCAAAGTTAAGACATGTTATTCAGGGCATTGTCAGATGCCCTTAATACATAGAAAAATGTAAAAATAAATAGTTTGAGTTTTAGTTTATACTAGCTATTTTGTCTTCTTTATTTTAAGTAACTGATCCTGAAAACTTGCAGAGAAAGACAGAGTTTGCTACCCTCTGGGAATATCTGAAATATTGAAGGACATGGAACACAGCATATACATCCATGGTTTGGTCAGATTTGTAACAGGTTTTAGGAAGAGGTGAGGAGGCAAAGAAAAATCATGAAGCAGAACTTCATGATTTTTAATGCTACAGGTAGGAATTACGCAGATATAAGCAAGGAAACTCATTTCTTGTCCTTAATTCTGCACCTAATTTGGTTTCCTTTTCTCAACATGAAATGGCTTACAAAGCACGTATACAGTGGAGAACAAGCATCACTGAGCTTTCCATTTTATCACAGCTACAGAAACCTCCAAATTTGTCAAAGCATGGTATTTCTGCTGCAAGATTTAAAATAAGAAGCTGCACTTTTGGAAAGCAACAGGAGAGAGCTTTACAGCTCACAAGAAGACCAACAGTTCAAGACTTGGAGCTGCACAGCAAGCCATGGGATTTGCACAGATACAGCCTAGCAGAAGTAGTTCTGAGTAGCTTTAGGATGATCTATTTTCTCCAAGACTAGGGCATACTTTAATTCATCCGCCTCGGTTTTAGATCATTTTGTTCAGTGTATTCTTTTTCCACAGGAGATATTAAGGTGTTTTTTTTCTTCCCTACATTCCCATGAATGGGCCTCTCTAATGTGATCCAGGTCCAACCACAAAAGCACCCCTCCTTTCTCAAAGACATCCACGTCGATCTTATGCTTCCTGACTTTCATATTCCTCTAACTCCCAGGTATCTAGTCCCAAAGAAGAGTAGTCAATCCGGCAAAGACGCTGCTGATCTCATTTCCCAAAAATTATATACCTTTGACCATGACTCAGAGGAGCTGCAAGTTTCTTGTTCACACTGCTCCTGCAGCACTTCATCCTAATAAAATCTTGGCTTCATTTACTCCTCCTGTATTCAAGGAAATACACCGTTTATGATAGTTCATCCAAGATGAATGACATAAAGAACTATCTTCTCTTGAATGGCTTTTTAATGAAAGATTAACCAATTGATCTGACTATCCTTTCTGTCAGTTCCTACTGACCTGGCATGGGGCTCATACCACGTTCTTAAGCTTGTCAAACAGGTCATCAGAGAATGACTATTGGCTACCGGTGCAATATTGCCTGGGAAAAATGTAAATGGATCACTGAGAGTACTAGGATAAGTCTTTTCCATAGAGAAACTGTTAATATCAAGGCCCAGGATGCTCATGAGTCTTCTTCTTCCAAGAGGCAGCTGTTTCTGGCTGCACCTATCCCAATGGATACCTGGAGGATAAACTCAGATTTTAGCAGGATCAGAGAATGGCCTCGGAGATTAGCAGGAGAACGGCCTCGGAGATTAGCAGGAGAACAGAGAGCTACAATCTGAGGGGAGACTGAAAGGTTTTGTGTTGATTAGTGCTAGGAGACAAAAAGGGAGAGGATTTATGACTGCTGTCTATGAATGTATCAGAGGATCAACAGCAGGGAAAGAGACAATTTAAACTAAAGGGCTATTGGCAGAAGTACAAATGGGTATAAATTGCCCATTAATAAATTCTGGCTCAATATGAGAAGGTTCTTAGCGATTACCGTAATCAGGTTCTTGAACTCCTCTTTAAACTGGAACAGCAGGGCCAGAAAATAAATAAATGCTTTCGACATGGATCATGATAGATTCATGAAAGACAGCGTATGGAAAGGCCCCTGAAAAAATAGAAGCTATGTTTGTGACCCACAAGGTTCCTTCTAATACTATATTCCTCAAGCAACACCGTATCTTATGCTGAAACATCATTGTTCATTATGGAACTAAGATTAATCCTTTTTTTCCTTGTCTCTGGAACACACCCAAAGGAAAACTTAGGGGAGCTTGTTACTGAAGTAGTCTCCTGATTGTACTCCACTCATATTCTTTTTTCTCTTAAATATTCACATTCTTTGTGGCAGCTTTGTGTTTCATGAATATACTTGATCTTATCACTGTGTTATTCATTCAGTTTCTGTGATTCAATATTCATACACTGATGTCTAGACTATTCTTATCACACATAAGC